AATTGAAGGTGATAATTGTGTTAAATACATTCTATTATTAATCCCTCATGACATTTAAAATTGAAAATATTTGTATTTTTAAACCTAATAGCAGTTACCCTTGCTGGACCTGTTTTGTCCCATGTCTCAAGAATGACTGTTTTAGTGAGAATTTGGTTCAGAGACTGGGGTTTAGTGTTTTAGCAATTCAGAAAAACTGTAAGATGCTCAAAGTGACGTTTAGCGCCCCCTGGGACAAACCAGAGCCCATTTGTAAGATCTGTAGGACAAATACTACAATGGCGCCATCGCCTGTGCAATATGGGAACTACAACGACCGCAGGCGGTGGAACAAGTGCAAAAACTGTGCCATTCACAAAACATCGAAATGATAATCACATGTAAGATACACACGATACAATATCTCAAATGTATGTTTACAACTTAAAATAAATTTACAAAATTGTCAACGGTTATCATTATATTAAGAAACCATTTTCTAAACGTTAAGACGAAACGTAAAACGAATTCCTATATAAAAAGTATTGAACTGAAATGCATCAGTTTAGGCGCTTCCAATTATTTCAAGACTTGATCAAGACACAATAAAACGTCGTCGTAATGAAGGTGACGCAGCTGCTGGAGTGACCCGGAAGTTGCGCAGAGCTCGCCTCTCGGATGACGTCACTTCATTGAGCTGGTTAAGATGGCGCTTCGACCCGGATCAGGGGGAGGTGGCAGGTACAGAATTTCACACTTTGACACTCTGTTATCTATTTCTGTCTACGTGTATACACCTGCTAAAGTCAGTATATGTTAATTCACGAGGCTGCTTGAAAATTGAGCCGTTGGTGCCGCACAGTTTCACTTTATTCAGCGCACCGTCTGCGGTGTTAATGGCTGATGCTGCTCAGCTGTGATGGTGATGTGACGTTTGTCATACTGCATCACAATGATCAACCGTCACGTTTCTATTCGTTTCTATTCCTTCCTTTGTCATATACGGGGATACATAGCGATATTGATGCTCGAACATTATTATTATTCCGCTTGTCAGCCGACTGACTACCACCCAGAAATGGGCATTTGTTGGCCGTGTCTCAACCTATAGTGTACTGCCTTCTTAGACAGCCTTTTGGAGTCTCTGTAGGTTTGTTCGAACGTTCTAATCGTTGATGACGCCCTACAACAGGGGTCTCAAACTCAAATTGGCTGGGGGCCATTGCTATAATAATAATTTAGCGGGCCGGATTATGTTTTATTTTTGACATCAATTGCGGGCCGGGTGGAGGGGGAGGGGGGGCTGTAAATGGCCCGCGGGCCGGCAGTTTGAGACCCCTGCCCTACAATTTTATACGAACGCATTGTTTCCTACAGTTTTTTTTTTTTCCCCATACCAAAATGTTTTGCAGCCCTGTCCACCTTTCACTATACACGTAGATAATACAAATATAAAAACCTACACATAAGCGTATTCATGTGTTTTAATATTTTTTCTTTTGTAAATATTATTGCAGTTATCTTTAACTTCGCATTTTCATATGAAAACCAGGTTCAGTATCAAGTAATGATACTGGTTTAAGTTTCACAACCCCTGAATATGCAACATTTTCAGAGAATTTGTAGTTCAGGAAGTCAGTCAAATGTCGATTTATTGAGTTGGTTAAGTTAATTATTGGTAAGTCTTTCTGAGTTCTGTAACTGCCAATTGTGTGAGTGTTTTCAGAGATGAATTAAAATAAAACTGGTTTCGTAGGAGTCATTTGTTCATGAATCGGACTTCACTGTTAGCGCAGTATATTTGTTTTTTCATGCAACCCAAAGCAACTGAGGAACCACTGTGAATGTGAATGCCTAATTCAATTTGAATATTTGAAAGTGTTTATTCTGATCAGATTTGATTTGATTTGATTGATGTCCAGAACATTTGACTTTTCAATGAATCCTTGCTTCCAAAAACTTGTATCTGAATGTTGATGTACAAAAATGTAATTGGATTCAAACATTCAAAATTGTTTCCTGGTATATGGTAAACATTCTCCACATTGTTATTGGTTCATATCAAGGTTAAAAGGAAGGGTAGACCAGACCAGAGCTGACACCCTGACCAGCATGATTTGTTTGCAGATGAGACATCAGGTCCTGACTGTGATGAGGATCTTAACAGCTCCCAAATATATTAATAGCTGTACTGTAACTGAAGTGCTGCATTTCTTTTTGCATATATAGTTGACCGGATCAACATCGTATCGCCCTCATGGGTGCCACTGAGCTTACAGATTTTGATATCGGCCCAGTAAGGCACTTTGAATGTACCAAAGTTTTCATAAAGTAGACCACATAACTGCCAGAAAGGATCGAAAGACCAACTTCATGTTTTATTTACCTAAAGGGCTTTAGTCTCTGCTGAACTGCTTGAATAATGAATGTCTAGTTTCAAACGGCGCAGCACCAGGTGATGCTGATACCTGCCGTGAAACTAAATAACCACAGGGCTCTACATAGTGCTGCTTATTTTGGCGTTATAATAAAAGTTCAACAGCATAATCCTAATTTACATGGAAGGACTTTTCAAGTCTTTTGGCACTTCTGTAAATGATGAGGCACATGCTCATGTGATGTCAGTGACAAATTGAATGCTGTTTAGCTGCTAAAGCTATATATTAAAGGAGAAAATTTGCTAATTGTTTATAAGAATTAATTTAGATGGAGTTTTTCAATAATTATGTAACAGGATTTAGCAGTTTGCAGAAGAAACCGATCCATGAAAATTTAGTCTGGTGGCTGTGGCTGAAGCATTTTCCATATGGTTGCGTCTCTCAAACAGCTGCAGTGGAGGGCATAGGGAGTTTATTGGAACAGGTGTAACTGTATTGTTGCTGCCAACACCCTAAAAGATGCTTATCAGGTCTGAGAGTTCAGAAAAAAATGACTGAAGACAGCAATGTCAGAGATGCAATCTGTTATTCTGTTTGAAAGTCACTAAATAAATAAGCCTGCCCAACCACATGGAGCCAACACAAAGGTTTTGACAGTTTTCAAATTACCGTATCTAGTGCTGGAAGGTAAGAGCTGATTATCCGTGAGTCGTGACAGCATAAAAAGGATTTAGGGACTCCTGCGTGTATTATTTAGAGGTTTGTTTGGTTAAAAAGTTGAATATTAAAGGGTTAGTTCTAGAGCCTGACCAATATGGGTTTTTTGGGACCGATATTGGGGAGTAAAAAAATGCCGATATCGATATATCGCCAGATATTCTTTGTGTATATTATAGTACAGTACCAGTCAAAAGTTGACACTTTCCCATTCGTGTGTCCAAACATTTGACTGGTACTATATATAGAATACAGTATATACATAAACAGAATATATATACATAAACACATTTTTTGCAATGATCACTCAAATGTGGTCATCAAACACTTATAATGATGTGATGTAAGATACGTAATGGAGGCAGGGCATTTAACAATAAACTTTATTATCCAAAATGAGTCTGACATCAGTGCACTGAACAGTAAAGTTGAAGTTTATTCAACTTTAATTCAATTCAATTCCATTCAACTTTATTCCGTTGAAGTTTATTTCACTTCGGAACATTCATTCACGGATTTGCGCTACTGTCTTCACACCCAGACGAAACTTACTAGAGAAGTGTGA